AAGCTACTTCATACAGTATTATAGGTTTGTAGACACTCCAAAATATGGTTACAATTAGTCCCTGTTTTCCAGGGACATTCCCCGTTTTGAAGGAAACAAGCATCCCCTGCATTGTCCCTGGTCATCCAAGGGTGTGATGTAGACATTGTACTGTGCAGGATCTTTGCCCATCCCAATATGGCGCTGCTGGACCCTGTTACCAATTGTGCATACACAGCAATACTCATCAAAGCCGCAGAAGAAAAAGCCATCCCGCTGCACATGTGCAATAAGTTACAGAGGCCAGCAGCCCCAGTTGTGGGGCAACGGAGGCACGTGCACTGTCCAATGTTTACACTATGCCACGTGGCCAGCATAATGAGTAGCTGCATGCTGGTTTTTGCTTTTTATTACCTGAACTAAGAAAACACAAAGCTGTAAGTTGATTGGCTGCTATAGGCAACTCCAGAAGTTTGTTTCTGCACAAAAGAATGGCAGTAAAAATGGGAACTCTTTGTAACCATATCCTTTTAAGCCCCTCCTACTGTTACTGCAATCTGCCACAACCACAATTAGACACGCCACAATTTCTGTAATTTCTCTACACATGGCACCCAAGGCATATTGTCTTTATACCTTGAATGTCTGCCTCTTGTTCCAAATGCCTGCAAAAATTGTTTCAGTTAAAAATTGAGGCATGATTGTGTGTGTTTGTGGTTAAAAGGGGTGTGTGATTTTTTTTGTATGTGGGTGTGGTCAAAAGTAGACATGGTCAGTAGGTAGTCCTCAGATATCGTTTTGAAAATCTGGTCACCTTACTCCAATTTAATATCTCTGATAAGCAAACCTCTAATGAGAGAACCACAATGGCTGCCATTGCTGACCACTCCTTATGAAATGTGAGTCCACTGACCTGGAACAATATTCAGATACAGCCTTACTCTGACTTTCTGGATATGCATACCAGTCAGGTCTGTGATTCAGTGGAGAAACTTAACAGCTGGGCAACTAGTATTTTCATAAGAAGAGGTCAGCCATCCCATCTCCTATATTTCTCTTATGACAGGTTAAGCAATTCTCCAGGCAGGCTATAGTTACACCCTTGATTGGTTGTTGTAGTCAGGCAATGTATGGGCAACCTTAGATTCAGTGGCGTAACCAGAGTTCTGGGCGCCCGGGGCAGAAATTACACCGTCCCAGACCATATCCTTAATTT